GACCATGTATAGTAAGGCGTTTTTAGCCGAAAAAAACGACCATGTATAGAAAGGCGTTTTTGGACGAAATTTTTAGCCGAAAAAAACGACCAAGTATAGTAAGGCGTTTTTGGCCGAAAAAAACAACCATGTATAGAAAGGCGTTTTTAGCCGAAATTTTTTGCCGAAAAAAACGACCATGTATAGTAGGGTGTTTTTGGCAAAGTGGAAAACGATATTAAATAAATGAAAGGTGCAGGATTACCAGGCTTTTTGAGCATATTGTTACAGTGGAGAGCCCCTCCAAAAAGCAAAACACCAAAATAGAGGCAGAATCAGATTTTCATTTCACAGTGCCACTTCATAACAACTTTAATAACCTGCTAAATATCTCAGTGTCAAAAATTTTTTCCACCACCGTCACATTTTTGTTTCTGTTTGTGTATTTATTCTTCATTGAACCTCACAATGGTAGAGCGGCCCCGTGGTCGACTGGTTAGTGCGTTGCCCTCCCAGTGTGGAGGTGCAGGGTTCGATCCCGGCTCTGGCTTTCCTGTGTGAAGTTTGCATGTTTTCCCCTCTGAAAAACATGCGTGGCAGGTTGACTGAACACTCACTTGTCCCTCGGTGTGAGTGTGAGCGCAGATGTATGGCAAACAGTTCCGAAGACAGCAGGGTTGGACTCGAGCACGCCCCCGGATCAGAAAATGGATGGATGGTATGAACCGTTTGTGTTCTCCAAATATGTCAGCAGAGGTGTGTGTGAGACACGTTTCCATCTTTATTGATACAAAATTACACATTTAAAAAAATGACACAGGTTTGCTGTCACCAAAGTCCGGGGGAACAACGAAGGCAGAGGGTTTTTTTTTTCCTTCTTTTTAAACAAAAATCCCCAAAGAGGTGTGACCAGGCAAAAATACTGTCAGAACAAAGTTTTGCATGTCACTTGTCAACGGCATCAAATTAAGAATCTCAGAACTGTTTAATTCTTTTACTTCCAGGTACAATAACTTAAATTTGTGCAGAGATGGGGCTGGGGTGGAAATCACCCAAAATACATCCTGACACTGGATGACAATGATGGGGCATCAAAAGAACTTCTTTGCTGCTGCTTCCTGTTGGCTTCTACGGGAGAGAAAAAAAAGACAAATCAGCAGTTCATTGAATTTGCAGTCATTCAATAAATACAATAAAAAAAAAAAAAAAAACTTACTTGTACATGATATAACACAAGAATAGAACCGACTGGACCACAATGAAGATGACAAAATGGACAGTCGACAAGCAGGAAGGGAAGGAGGGAGCCTCGGGGCACTTTTGGACCTTCTCACCGGGATTCTGCAAGGAGCTCTCATGTTAGTGCACACAATGCGACGATGTGAACGCAAACTCTGCATTCTGACCTGAGCGCCACGCTGGACGAGGTGTTCCAGGTCACGTCTGACTGAGTGTAGGTGCTCTTTGATGTCGTTGAAATGCTGAATGCTCTCGTACGTGGCCACCCCGCCGCCACCCTGCTGCAGCTGCTGCTGCTGGGCCGAGCCGATGTGCTTCAGAGATTCGTAGAAGGTATTCCTGCCGAGATAAAGACCGTAATATGAAACAAATTGGGGGATGGTTTCCGGTACAGAAATCAGTAGGTCAAATCTAATAATCGTGAGGGAAAGAAATTGTGATGTTATGAGAAAGTTGAGGGGGTGGGTTGGTGGGGGATATTTAAAGAAAAGTCGTAACATTGGAAGGAAAAGTTGCAACGCGACATACGACATTAAGCGAAAAACACTGAAAAAAACGACCATGTATACTAAAGCATTTTTATCCGAAAAAAACGACCATGTATAGTAAGCCGTTTTTAGCTGAAAAAAACGACCATGTATAGTAAGGCGTTTTTGCCCGAAAAAAACGACCATGTATATAGTAAGGCGTTTTTAGCCCGAAAAAAAAGACCATGTATATAGTAAGGCGTTTTTAGCCGAAAAAAACGACCATGTATAGTAAGGCGTTTTTAGCCCGAAAAAAACGACCATGTATAGGAAGCCGTTTTTTGCCTGAAAAAAAACGACCATGTATAGTAAGGCGTTTTTGCCCGAAAAAAACGACCATGTATAGTAAGGCATTTTTAGCCGAAAAAAACGACCATGTATAGTAAGGCGTTTTTGCCCGAAAAAAACGACCATGTATAGTAAGGCATTTTTAGCCAAAAAAAACGACCATGTATAGTAAGGCATTTTTAGCC